CTGTAGGTGTGCAGCCAAGGTGTTGTGTGTGTTGTCTTGTGTTTTCTTGATATTTATTTCACATTTCTTCTACTCTCTCGTTTACTCTTTCCTATTACGTTTCACTTTTTTTCTTCTTTCTTTTTCTCTCTAAAAAAGTCATTGATGATGAAGAAACAAACTAAGAAATGAATATTCAGCTCTGCTTCCTACTGAAGTGGCTTAAAAAAGACAACAGTAAATCTCTTGCCTCTGTTTACTAAAAGTAAGAGCATTTCCATACTCTCGGACTAAACAGCTGTGTAGCCACAAGAAAATCATTTATCACTGATGCTGAAGTGAAAAAACAGCTTCAATTTGCTAGAGAGCATAAAGATTGGACTCTAGAGCAATGGAAGAAGGTCATGTGGGTTGGGAACCACTTCCATATTTAAAGCTAAAGTAGGTCCAGCAAAATAATAGCCTGTGACCTTTTTTCAGCCAGGCAGGTTATATATAGATATTGTATATAAAGGTTTCCTGCATTTTTTTYCTCTGATTGAAACAGGCCTCCCTCTGTCTGAACGTTCTCGTGCTTGTGTCTATATTTTTAGAAGAGGAAGTGATCTGTGATCAGCCCAAGTCTTTCACAGCTCAGAGAGGAAGTCATCAGGTATGAGTGAGACCAAAAAAAGATCAAATGTAAATGAGAACTAAAAAGAGAATGCAGGGCTGCACTGTGCGACACATAATGTTGCACGTGCGATGAAAAAAAAAAACAAACTCTGTGCTATATTTATTTTATGTTGCACTGGTGCRACAGCTTTGCAAGCTTTTATTTATTTTGCAAGGTAGATGCGACAGGTGCATCCATGACATGGTTACCTTAGCAATGTATTTACTTATATAGTACAGCAAGAATCACCAACACAGTCCCCCGTGTTCGATCGGGTGCCCGCGGGTGTGTGCGTGTTCTAAAAATAACTCATCAGCAGTGGAGCTAGCAGCTATTGTAATGCCCCTCAGCATTCAAAAAGTAACCAGAGTTATTTGTGTACTAAAAACACCATAAATTCAGGCAAAAGAAGCTGCTTTACATTCACAGCTTTGCTGGACTCACAAAAACACAGAGCTGATTTATCCCTCTGCTCAGCTCACTCCTTTCCTCTGTCTGTCTCTCTATCTGTCACACAGCACAGATCCACCCCCTTACAGGAGCRTTAACCCTTTAGGGCCCAGATTAGAAACATGCATTAAAATGTGGGAAATAATTTATGAATAAATGTAATTTCATTGTGCTCATGTACGATGACAATAAAGGTCTCTCTAATCTAATCTAAATTATTTTCAGTGATCGAGAGGAAGCTTTTTCTTATAGTTGCATTGTTTTTATGTAAAATAGTTAGAGTTTTAAAGGGATTTATAAATTAATTGGGTTGGATTGGATTTTTCTGAAGTGTTACAGACAGTGTTTATTAGAAACAGGATATGATTTAAGTTTTTCTGATAGTAGTTTTTTTAAACATGTTGCAGAAGTAATAAGAAACAGATTTATTTTGAATAAACATTACAAATGTGTTCATTCCGACAAAACTGTCAAATACTGTATGTTCACAAAATATACAGAATGTCACATAATACTGATTCAGATCAGAATTAAATTAATAATGTTTTATAATTAAATGTTTGTTTTCTTATATTTAAAAAAGAATCCTCCATCCATTCTGTGCTTGTTCATAATCAGGGTCAAGGTGGGAGTTGGAGCCTGTCTCAGTCTTTGAGTGAAGGCAGGGGACACCTGGACAGGTCTCCAGTCCATCAGGGACACCTGGACAGGTCTCCAGTCCATCAGGGACACCTGGACAGGTCTCCAGTCCATCAGGGAC